CACTATCTCGAGAGGTTTCATCTTCGAAAACCAGACTCTGTTTGATGGAGTCTTCCGGTGAAGTCGGGCATTCAAGGTTATTTGACAGGTCACTGGAAAACTGAAAAGACAAGACAAAAATATAATATATAAATATATATATTCTTCATCCTTATAAAAATTTTACTGATTATGAAAATAAGAAGCATGTTATTACTTACCGTCATCTGCCTTCGTGACATTATGACACAAGTATTTTCAAATTGTTTCAATAATAGTAAGAAATGTAAGTTGGACAGTTTAACAGTTTGAAGTCGAATGATTCAATATCTGTGCATTCTCGTGTTTATATACCTGTACTAAAACAACATAGTAACATAACAAAGAAAACACTCGTTAATCGGTTCATTATCCACTTAACCGTACTTTATTCATAATGGCTAATGAAAACATAGTTAAACACTAACATAATACTAAGTCGGGCTTGGTGTGAATGTACGATCGCTTGCGTCCCCCGTAGATATGGAACCACCCATACAAGGGTGTGAGGGGGATTATCCGGGTTTAATCACCGGGTTGGACATGAGACGTACCGGTAGCCCATGTGTTGATAACACAGAATTCAAATAGTTTTGGTCGTCAGTTGGATGACAATTAAGGACAATTTGTATTTACTTTGGGAACAAGATATTTAATACGGGCACACTTTCTGCGTGGATTCCCCACTGGCTGGGTTAAGGTGTAAAGTAAGCAGATTTATCAAGCGGTTGTTAGGATGATCTGGATTAGCTCGATTAGACCCACCCTTGTAGAAAACGACTGAATGGTTGGATGGATGTTCACTCAAATTCTGTGAAACAATAATTGTTTTGTATTTCATATTGGTTTCATGTGATTATAACCTTGAAAGAGTCATAAAGAATTGCCATTGTTATACGCAGATATATGGAATTTCTTGTAAAGCTTTATCTCGGTTTTCTGAACAAATTGAAGTATCACGTTATTATAGAAACTTATGTTTATCTAACAGTTTTTTTTGCGTTTACTCGAAGGATGGCGTGATTTATATAACTACAAAATATTTGTTTTGCCTTTGAACTACATGTTGAGGTAAATAATGGGTGAGTGAGTGAACTCGGTAGTTCGGCGTGAAGAACCTAAGTACACATCACGTTCACATTAAATAAAACTGGAGTGAGTGAGTATGGTTTTACGCCGCTTTTAGCAATATGCCAGCAATATCACGGCGGGTGACACCAGAAATAAGCTTCACACATTGAACCCCACCGACCCAATTAAACTTGAGCCATTCGAAGGACAAAGTACATAAAATAATAATATAGAGATATTTGTGATATTGTATAATAAAAAGTGTTGATAATGTTCAATTTTACAGTTAATGTGGATGCTATTGAGGTGGGTTGAACTTTTGTTTGTGTGATAATATTTAATGCTGTTTTGACATGTGGAAATTGTACTTTCTCGTTTCTGTTGCATGTTCCATACCATGTCTATATTATAACAATGGTGTATACTTTGATGTAAATTATGGATCAATATTCTGTCAGGTTATACACTCCCGTCTCAGGCTTGGCTGCAGTGATCTTAACTCCGACAAATTTGCCAGATTTATTTCCGACAGCGCGAGATGTTGTTGTGGCTATCATACGGAAGATGCACTTCATTTCTTCCTTACGTGTCCCTTAAACAGTACATTAAGGCAAGATATGTATTATTTCGTAAAAGGCTACGATTTAAATTCAATTCTAAATGGTAATTTACATTTAACGACTGTAACAAATCTTGAAATTTTGAAATCAGTGCACAGTTTTATTCGATCTTCTTGCCAATTTAGAGATTTTGTCTGAGATGTTGGCTTTGCTATATGATACTGCGATGTTGTTGTGCTGGATGTAAATAATAACGTAGCTGTAGTTACGAAAGATAATCCAGTAATTAAACACTTACAGAACAATACTTATCTTTGCTGTCAATTATATAATGTATGCTATCTCTTATGTCACTTTCAATACATTGTAATTTGTATGTGTATCATGTTTGGGAGAGGCATTCAGATTAGCAAACTTTGCTTGGTTGCCAATCCCTCCACTTAATGGAAATAAGTATGTTTATATCATGTCTATTCCTGTGTCAAACATATCAGAATAATAGGTTTCGTCTCGTTCGCATAGAAATATAATGATCATGTACCCTTTCCATAATGATAAGTAATCTCTATTGAAAGTAGAGTCCATTGTACGATTCCGACATTTTCGTAATCCTCTGTTTATGAATCACTATCAAATAGTGATGATAGGGTTCACCGATGGCACCGTCACAAACACATGCAGGGGCAGATCAACTTGTTTACCCGAGAAAACACGGGTACGTATGGTTCAAGTCAACAAAGGGAATTGCATGGTATCACATGAATATACATGGAAGCATATTTCAAAGATCAGGACATCTAATCGTTGACCTGTTTTGTTTTTATAGGAAAGCTAGACGGTGATAGTAATTTGTCTCATATTAATGCATTTTCCAAAGAAATCGAAAAAAGTTTAATTTTATACAGTTCACCTTATTTGACATCTATGATGTGTCAGTCCAAGTAGCATTGTTTAAACTAAGGAAGAACACTACATGTATGTCTGCAACGTATTACTATTCACAATAAAGAGTGACATACTTAATGTCATTCTACAGGTAGGACATGATATGTTTACCTTTTTCGCGAGCACCCAGTGTCAACACTGATTTTCGGTGATCCATTCAGATACTTTTCACCACTATTTTGCCTTTTAGGACTAATGGAATCGATTTCGGGGGATAATCGTTATTGTCTCATGAATTTGGAAATTAATCGCAATAACAGGCGATTTGACACGGAAGCTAATACTTCTTGTTTAGTCATTGTCAGTAGGCATATGTAAATAATTATGTGTACTAACTACTAAATAACTATAGGTTACAAAATGCAAAGTTGCGGATACTGCAATATTCAAAGGATGTGTGGCAATACTTTTTGTGCAGAATACACGATAGAAACCTACCAAGAGAATGTATTTCAAGTTCTGGGGATGACAGATAGCTTGGATTTTGACGCTTTTCTACATAAGACTGTGACGTCATATCTTTTGCCTCACGGTGAGGAAATAATAGTGATGTGCGGTGAAGAAGGAAACCTTTGCAAGGCTTGCTTAGTTTTCTTTAGGAGTGCCCACATCATATTAGCGTACGAAGTTGCTGTGCTACATGCTGTCAATGCCTGCCATTAAATTTAATGCCCGAGTGAAGTATTACGCTGCAGAGAACAGCTTGAGCATAAACAGCGCCATATTTTGTGTAAAAGCAGTTGTCTGTGATTCCGTGAGTCAGACTGACAACCCATTCAAAACATTGGACTCGACCAATGTCGCTTCACTCAGATGAACACCAGAGGCTTCGCATTTCATAAAGTCATGGCTTCGCGTTCGGTTTCAATTTCAATTTAGCGCGATTAAAGTTAATCCAGCTCTACATTGCAAATACAGTATGTTTATCTTCTTAATGATTGTTCCTCCCGATGTTTATATTTATGAGTGTATGAGGAGTGTTGTTCGTCGATGTAAGCAGTATCATATCTCCCATTGTGTAATGATATATAACTTCATGTATAGCGTTAGGTTCAGTGAACATATGGATCACACTGAATGCTTGTAACACAATGCATTAATTATTACTCAACTATCTTCATGGAATAGGTAGCACATAGGGAATGTTTAATCAGACACATCAAAAGTTTTATCTGGCCCCATAAAAGTAAAATAAAAGACTATGTGTACATTCACCTTAGTTTCATTTGTATGAATAAAAGCAACAAAATCCTTTCTATATTCATAAGAAAACTCTGCCAAAAGCAGAGTCAATTGTACTTATCCGACTATATCAGGAGCATGTGTTTATGAATCACTATCAAATAGTGATGATCCCAGATATTCGCTGAAGTCATCAGTGCTTCATTGAGTGGTGACAGTCGAACCGGCAGGAGAATGTGTTACCATTTAAAGTAAAGCTTGTGGTTAGTGGCTAAAATGCTAACTATCATTCAATTACAATTGTTTTTACTGTAAATTTTTCATCAATAAAATTTCTCATAATCTACATTTTGTACTTTTAAGGTGTTGGAACTGGTACATGCGACAATGTAAATTTTAATGAAAAGTGTCTTGTTCATTCTTACTATTAGATACAAAATACGAATATTTAATTGCACATATGCCAATTAACATGATTTCCTTATTTTAGCTAATCACTGTTATATGTTAACAAATGGACAACATTGAGGGAACAGTGAATGTGTATGCAATGTACCACATCTGGGATGAGAACTCACATTTAATGGATCCTCTGCTAATATTTTGATGAAAGTTTGTTGCTGTGTCGTTATATATTAACTCCCTCGCCTATTATCAACCACATGACTATAAGGTAATCGAACTTTCTTTCATGATTTAAAGTTATTATGAACATGTGATCGGTTTTTATTAAGTCCAAAGCAAATTTCGTAATGTGCCATTGTAGACAGTTGACTTGCCTTTAATGTTTGCAAGTGTTTATGACGTATGTCACAGGTGTTGCAAGATATGTTAACCTTTTCACGAACACCTGGTATCATCACTAGTTGATAGTGATTCATACACACATTTACATGATACAGTCATGAGATCATTTCACCCGGCCTTATCGATTTATAAAACCATACAGATAAAATAATATTACGAGGCTAGGATTGTAATGGTGACAAGCAAGAGTGGAGAGATAATGACAAAGAATTGTATGTGTGGAATTTATTCACATGAAACAATAATGGATTAACAAAAGAATATCACAGAATAGTTGATGACCTTAACACAGCAGGTCACAATATATAATCAGTCTTCCGCAATTGCAACATATCGGCACTAGCTTCAACAACGTCTGCAACATAGTTCAACAAGAACAAGAACAACATTTAGTTCTTTGCGTGAGCAGTTCATCTTTTACCATAAAGATAACTTGAGTGGAGACGCATCCATTTGGAAACGCCGACTGCGCATGCTCTGTTTCTGTCCTGCTGTCCATGACTTTGATTGAACCCGGAACTGACGTAGTTGTTTGGAGTAATCTTGATGCAGCATGGGAAGGTAGGATCTTGGTTCGCACTGACACTAACAAAATGATGAAAGGAATCTGTTAGAAACATTTGGAATATGTAGATTGATAAAACATTAATGTTCAACAAAAATCAATAGTGAAAAGATATTTCAATGTCAGTACGATTGTATGCCTATATTGTTGAATTGATGTAGGTTGGGCACCCTATAAGACAAATTAGAAATAATGCATAGACTAATACATACATTTTGTTGTCAACACATACTCCTGAATAAAGTAGACTAACATATTGACATAAGAACATGCTCACATTTGAATATCAAAGTATGTAATAAGTGCATTAACCTACCTCATGTTGTTCATAGAAGGTCTTGTATCCGCCATCTAACAGGTACACTTCCGGGTAGAAGAGGAAAGGGTAACGGTCACTGTTCAGCTTCCGGTCAAGGTTTCTCAGATGGCGCAATCTGTATGATGGGAAACCACGATGAATGAAAGTTGTACTTGTAATTATTATTCATAGACAACTTTAATACAGGATAAATGTAACAGCAATATTTATTTATTAAATTTGCTTAGTGTCGTTTAGAATCAGTTGCCTCAAGTGATGTGGCAAATGCTTACAGCTTTGGGCCTCTCTCTGATGAAAATTCACAGTGGAAGACCAGGATGTTCCGTTGAGTGGAGTCCCTCCCCTGTAGACTGGTCACTAAGTCTGTGATCAGAGCCTCGTTGTGAAGGTTCTCCGCTCCCTGTAAGTAAACAAATTGGCAAACTATAAATTCGGAATATTAAAAAAGCTGATATATAAGGAATCATTATATGAACGTCCACATATACACCCGAGCTATAGTAGCATTTATCTCATCCCTGATGAAGACAATAGCATACCTCAATGTGACCCCCTTCATATTCATACGGGTAACGACAGTCGATGATCCTGTAGCTGGAAATGATGTCTTCGTAGTCTCCTGCCAGAAGTTTACTAACTGTTTGTGGAGCCACAGAACTGAGATCCTTGTGTCGTCCTTGTATAGTTGGGAGACTATGAACCTGAAATGCAAAAGAGAACTGTTATTTACTTGAAATGAGATTATTGTTAGTCGGTATTAATCCCCAAAATGATTAATTTAACCGTTATTCAATTGATTTGGATAAGAATTTGTTTCAACTAACCTTTGAGCCATCGCCAATAAGACCTGTATCGTTTTGCATTTTATCGACGGCTGTCTTCATAACAATGGACGTCACTTCAGCTTGGGCTTTGTCGGAAATTTTGGGTGATCGAAGTTTCTTGACCTGCCAAACAGCGTGACCTTCAGCGTCCTCTTCACGTGATCTCTTGCCCGAGAAGAGCGATCTCCTGGTGCCATGGAAACCATTCCTTGTCTTATGATCCAATGCCAGAGGAGATACCTGATAAGAGATAAGTTCCAATATATGTATACAAGCTTATAAGCCAGGATTAGGTCAGTTCCCAACAGTCACAACCTGCTCAAGTTCCTGCATCGTCGAGGGGCGATGGTGCAGCCTTGTGGTCGAGGCGTTCACTCGTCACGCCGAAGGGTGTGTTCGATTCACCACATAGCTACAAAGTGGCCGATATCTGTTGTCCCCCGCCGTTATATTGCTTGGATATTGCTAAAAGCGGCGTAAAACCCAACTAACTGCATCGGTGTGACAACGAACAAGGAAAGAAGGATTTACCAAGATGAACATACCTCATTGTCGCTGCTCATAGATTCAAAGCCGCTATCATTTGAATCTTCTTCGTCGAAATCGAGGCTCTTTGGTATGAAGACATCCGGCGAACTCATGCACACATCACCAGAGGTTGTTAAATCCTCAAATAGGGAAGGTTCCATGCAAAACTGAAATGAAGCAGAATAAATGCGTAATGCAAATTGTTCTTTTCCCTGCCACATGTCACATTCCCTGTGACATTGGTGCCCCAGTCGTCTATGGCACCGCAATTCGTCCTATAGACGTACAAGATGTCGTGAGTTCGAAATTGGTTCGCCATAATTATGTTTCTTGGTTTGTCAGTACCAAACCATGCTCGTGGGTTTCACCAATGTGGTAAATGTCTTAGACCTGCATCATTTCGGACTTTCCTCCTACATGAAGCCGACACGCAGTGATATAACTGGAATACGGCGGCGTTAAAACAAACTCACTCACTCATGATAAATGTAAACGTAATACTCCATGAAAATTTTAAATTGAGTCAACGGAATACATCTGTTATTCTTACCTTCAGCTGTTTTCTTGACATGGTGGAATCGGTTTCTTCGAGGGAATTCTGTAATGTTAAGAAATCGTTGTATGATGGTGTGTACTCGTCAAGTATTAGACGGAGAATGATACTGAATCTGTCCTATCCAATGTTTATATATCTTTCTAAAACAACATATTTACATAACAAAGGCAGCACTCGTTGATCGATTCAGTAACGAATTGATCTCACATTGGATATACTTGGTAACGGAAACAAAGATAAACAAAATATTATAATAGTGATCTTGGGCTTGGTGTGAAAGTACTATCGCTTGTGCGTCCAGTGGATATTTAGCGACCTATACGAAGTGTGAGAGGGATTATCTCGGCGTAATCACCAGGTAGGACATCAAATGTACCGTGCACCCGTGTTTGCACAATACATGGTTAAGATCGTTCTAGTCGTCAGCTGAATGACAATTAAGGACAATTTGTTTTAACTGGCGGAACGCGGTATTTTATTGGGACACACTTTGGGCACGGATTCCCCAGCTAGCGGGATTAAGGTGTATCGTAGTCAGATTGATCTGGATTAGGTGGATTATATCAACACGTGTAGATTACGCTGTTGATACTTAAGAAACAGTAACATAGAATGGGAAACCCCTTGGGTATCTGAATATCTTCAGCTTCAGAAACCGCCGGGCTTAAGAAAGTACACACCCATGTTTGATGGTGGCTAAAATGAAACAAACAAGTTTTGGACGTGAAGTTTCCAGTGTTCCCGCGACTGTTTTCAGCCTAGTAACGTTTCGAAAGCGTTTGTGATACTTTTGGTCACATCCAATTTTCAAACTGTACTTTCTTTCGCCTGGTGGTTTACATTGCAAGATAACTTTGGGTTTCCGTTTTAACGATGATTTATTCTTAACACATATGTGCTTAAACCTACTTGCAATTATATCTATAAAATGTAATATTCGTTGTTTTTAAATTGAAACAAATCATATCCAACATTGAAGTAGTTCCATTTATGTACTTAGACATGATTTACTGTAGTACGTTAATAAACCTATTAAAAATGAAATTGTCAAATACATTTTGAATGATCATAAATCATATTCTTATTAACATAACCTCCTCAACAAACACATTGGAATAATGCTATAAACCTATTTCTGGTGTCGTCCCCCGCGAGATATGGATGGACTTTTGCTATATATTTCGGCTATACTCCCTCACTCACTCGTAACCTACCAGTCAGCAATGCAAATACATTCGGTTTGTAGAAGGCAGTTTAACCCTCAGTAAATATAGCCCCTACATTCACAGCAAATAGAAATGTGAGACGACTGTCGCATTGACACTGAGCCTTGAGAGCGGAACAGCGATGAGCTGGTGGTGTCAGCATCCTCATCAATAGATTGCCTTCCACCAAGTACCGCACCTATGACTATGTGAGATGAAGGCGTCAATAATTAATGTTCGGACAGATGCAACTCAGAACGAAGACAAATATATATCACGACATCTTAATTTTATAGAAATATATTTGATTAATCTTTTTAATGTTACATGTTTGACTTTACACAAATATATGAAACTGGAATCTGAAACGAAATAGATATGTTCAGTTAAGAGAAATTTAATCATTCGAACCCACAGAGAACTTTTCGGAGAATTTGAAGACTGCCTAACACTGCAGCCTTCTGCAATACACAGATTGTCAGAAGGGCTGTTTTCCTGGAAGCAAACACGGGTACTCTCCCAGGCCAATGCCAGTCAACAGATTTAAGAGGTACCAAACCTAGGTCACCGAGAAAAATGGGGAGTCGGACAACTTGTTATAGAAATATATTTGATTAATATTTTTAATGTTACATGTTTGACTTTACACAAATATATGAAACTGGAATCTGAAACGAAATAGATATGTTCAGTTAAGAGGAATTTAATTATTCTTTTAACTGGATGGTCAGCTGAGTTCGGAAGTACGATACACAGTACTTGTTGTTTTCATGTATTTTCTTTCACGTATGGTTTTCGCAAGCTTTTAAGATGTCAAATATATGAAAATATTCTTTAACTTAGGGGCAAAAGAAGGTATACCGAATTTGTTTTTTTATTTAATTCCCAATTGAAAGAACTATTGTTAAATTTGTTAATGTCGATTTAACCATCACTCATTCCTGCAATTGTAAAATGTAATCTGTGTCTAGGAAACTGTGTGTAAAAATAGAGAGTGAGTTAAATGTTACATCGCATCGGCAATATTACAGCCGTATAGCACTTTGATCAAGGTATTCAGATCAGGTGTAAAATTAAATTGGTTCAATGAAGACTAGAGTAATAAATGAGTTTGCAACCACGTGACCCATGCCATGTTTGAAATATATATTTGTGCCGAAAAAAGCGACACATTTCTTTTTCAAGGATAAGATGTTTAAGATACACATCATCAGTTGTGTAGCATGACAAATATTATGATAATTCTTTTTAAAGTTTTGAATCAAAATATATTAAAAAAATATAAAACTAAGCAGAAGAATTCTTTGAGTGTTGACTAAGTGCCAAAACAGTTAATTTTTGGATACAATATCGATAACTTAAATTTTTTTCAATTAAATATCAAAGTTTGTAAGATATGATAAAATCAACTGAGAGGTAGTTTCTTTTTCCTCTTCATCAGTTTATGTATACAAATCTGAATGTATATGAAGATCTATGCTCAAACTCGATATTATATAATAACACAAATACCGTATTCGACGTAATAACACACGAGTGCGTATTATACGCGAAAAGGGAAAGGAAGCGATGCGTATTATATGCGAATAGGGGTCGGACGGGGGTGCTTATTGGGATTGTTCACTAGCCAATATATCAGCGGGGCGCTTATTACGTCGAATACGGTACAGTTTTTATTCTGGCTGAGTCAAATTTCATATTTAGATGATAAAGCTTTAATAAACACTTTCCATATTCATAAGAAATCTCTAAACGTAGAGGCCAATGTACAATTCCGACTTCCTTACGAGCATGTGTTTATATATCATTATTAATTAGTAATGACACCAGGTGTTCGCGGAAAGATGAGCGTATCCTGCTCCACCGTTACAGTGGATGGTGAAGGTCACTACGTATCTGTGTCAAGATGAGGATCATACCCTGTACATTTATGTTAAGATTTCAATTTAAACACCAAATAAATAAAGCGACAAAACCCTTTCAATAGCCAATATAGATCTTTGCATTAAGCAGAGTCGATTGCACGATTCCGGCTATATGATGGGCATGTGTTTATGAATCACTATCAAATGGTAAAAGCATCATTTAGTATAAGATCATATTCCCATGTAACTAAACTAGTTTGTGAACGTTTATTTAATTATATTCACAAAGCGTAACGCCATGGTTTATCATAGGATTACGAATGTCGTAAACAAAGAACGCTTTAAATTGGTGAATCGGAGCCCTGGCTATGAGGTATACTACTACATAAAGTGTTGTTTTGACGAAACAAAAATAATATGCTGCAACGACAAGGGAATTAACCATCCGAAATATGAAAAATCCTCTTTTAGAGTTGAGATTTTAATAATGAAAATATTGAAACTAATAATGGTGTATGTCTAACATTAGGTTAATGCTGTGGGTCAGCCAGGAGAGGCAAAGTCATTCTTTCTGTTTGCATTTTGTTTCTGTTTGCATGACGTATATCAATTTGACGTGCGTGTGGTGGCAAATCAGATGAAGTTAAGCAACGTCGGTCGCGGGGAGTCCTTGGTGAGAGTTTCTGGGGCTTCGGTCCTGCCCCACATTAAGGCACATGTAACACATGTGGCGTCTCCTTGGGCAAGTGACTTTGTTCAAAATGTGCCTCTGTTCACCCAGCAGTGAATGGGTACCCAGTTTGATGAGATGGCAATGTGGTTGTTAACCATCTACCGCCGAACAGGCAACTTGGGTTGTATGGTCCCCAGGGAGCAGAGAATGATTCGTGAGTGCACTCAGCACCAGGTAATAATAGCGTTTTGAGCAGTCGAACCCACAGAGAACCTTTCGGAGAATTTGAAGACTCCCCAACATTGCAGCCTTCTGCAAAACACAGATTGTCAGAAGGGCTGTTTTCCTGGAAGCAAACACGGGTACTCTCCCAATGCCAGTCAACAGATTAAGAGGTACCAAACCTAAGTCACCGAGTAAAAATGGGGAGTCGGACAACTTGTTACTTAAGATGAAAGCGTGACATTTCGAACGTGAGGTCCGCATATCTGCCATGTTTTCCTGAACCTTGTCAATCACATTAGTGTCAAAAGGGACAGAAAATTCAATAATATAAATGATTTCATTTGATTAATGAAAAAGGACAAGATCAGGGTTGTTTGCCTGGATACGTCTGAGGCTGTAAACGGGCCTATTCCAAAGAATTTTGTACTTTTTCATTTTCCATAACGCCCTCTACATATTCTGGGTCTTACCATGGATGGACCTCTGTGTCAAAGCCACAAGCATTGCGAAAAGGGTAATAAAATGATCGAGCTACACCTTCATGTCGCTTAAGATACTGTGTTTGTGCCAAAGCTGGGCATCTACTGACAATGTGTTGGACAGTCTCATTAAATTCATTGCATTATCTACTTTTCATATTCACATCTTGATGCAAAATCACACATTGACGGTTTTGAGTGAGAAGTGACTGGTCCTGAGCAGCAAACAGAAAGCCTTCTGTTTCTCCTTTCATGCTGGTCGACTTCATCTAAGCAAAGGACTCTATAGGGTTGCTCACCTTCTCAACACACTGCACACATACTCGATGCAGTGGTCGTTCAAATAGCCTATCCTTGAAAACCTGATTCGATATGGTACCTCGCTTGGTTGACACTCATTTCTGTACCGTCCAGCAGTACGGAACCATCAACAAAATCAACACTGACAATGAGGTTATGTCCCACACCGATCCGAATTGGCTCGTTTAAGAAAACTGTGGAATGCCTTGTTTTCATCACAAGTCTTGACATGCTTCACAAGAGGATCATCAGACAAATAAATGTGTGCAGAAGCGCACAATAAAATTCTATCATTAAGAGCCTCCACGTTAATCAACCCACGCCCTCTCATTTTGATTGGTAAATAAATATAAGCGATTTGGGGATGAGATAGGATGGAAGGATCTATTGTCTGACACGACTCTTCAAGTGAGGGTGTCAATACCCTGAATTCAATCATGACAAGGTTAAATAAAGATAAATCTCATCGTTTCTCCATAGCAGATTCTTCGGAATACATTGGTCCTACCATAAAACTGGAATTCTATTAGCAACTGCGATGGACGTGACTGCGCAATCACAATATATGTAGTAGCACGATATGTAAGCACGTCCAGCATAGTTCGCTGGGTTTTTATTCTAACCTGGAATTCCTTCGGTGAATCATGTTACATATACAGTAAATATTTACTCACAGGGCACATTACTTCATATCATGGATTTCAACGAATCCTCGTTCCCCGATAATATTTCGAGGTTTGTCAGTACCATACCTGTACTCGTGGGTTTCTTTAAAGTGAGGTGGCACGGGTGGCCCAGTCGTCTAAGGCGCCGCCATTCGCTGTGCAGAGTTGCGTCCCTTGAACACGCCAGAAACCTATGATTGTTGGTTCGAATCCCGGTTCGCCCCGATTATGTTTCTAGGTTTGTCAGCACCATACCCGTGCTCGCGGGTTTCACCGAAGTGGTAAACGTCTTAGACCTGCATCACTTCGGGCTTTCCTCCCACATTAAGTTGACGCGCCGTGATATAACTGGAATATTGTTAAAAGCGGCGTTAAACCCAACTCACTCACTCACTCTTTAAAGTGATAAACGTCTGAGAACTGCATCACTTCAGACTTTCCTGGTTAAATAGGTAAATTATAATACTTAGTTTGGATTTTCATTCACTATATCAGCATTTGGAAAATTTATTTTTTGACAACACGATATTGTAACTGTAAACTGCAAATTAAATTTATTCATAATATACTCAATCTTTCAGGGTCACACCTTTTTTTTGGAGGGGAGTTTTTTGGAGGGTGTTTCCTCCGGCTGCAAACTTCCGCTGGTGACAATTCGGGAAAACCTGATTGGCCAACAATACCAAGATGCCGTTCTTCGTCCAGTGGTAGTCCCTCATTTTGACAACCATCCTCTTCAGACAAGACCTGTTTCCATGGACGACAATGCTAGACCACACAGATCTCGGGCAGTTTTGGCTTATTTGCGTCAAGAAGCTATTGCCACTCTTCCTGTAGTTCGGATCTTAATCCGATTGAGCATCTCTGGGACATTATTGGCCGGAAAATCAGACATCGTGATCCCCAAGTTCAAAATCTCGCTGGACTTGAAGCCGCATTTCATGAAGAATAGATTCGTTTGCCTCAGAGAAACAGAGATCTTGTCACTTCCGACAACGAATCGTAAAAGAGAAATCCTGTATATAAACGGACATACATATTATTTCAACAGACGCGTTGTACTTGAATAGCGAGTGAGTGAGTATGGTTTTACGCCGCTTTTAGCAATATTCCAGCAATATCACGGCGAGGGACACCAGAAATGGGCTTCACATATTGTACCCATGTCGGGAATCGAGCCCGGGTTTTCGGCGTGACGAGCGAACGCTTTAACCACTAGGCCACCAGACCGCCCCACATGAATACAAAAGAAGGCGTCAAAATAGTTATATTTACAACCTCGATCAACTTCTATTCCATCTTATCAAAAAAGAGTCCATACATATATCTTACAGAAGACACAAAACGTGGATTGATCATTTATTGTTAACAATTAATTATAACCAAGCAATGATTATTTTCGACGTTTTTCCATAGGGCTTGGGGGCAGAATAGGTACCAGATTTGGGCACAGCATCATTGTTGCCCTACTAACTAGTTTATATCAATTAGCCGTAGCATTTAATGCTATTTGGTTGATATCTAATATACATTGGTTTGACTTCATATCACCTTACCATAAGTGCATATTGTCTGTCAGGATAATTATAATATGACAACTACATGCTGCTTATGATACTAAGTAATGGAGGACATGACTGCACATCAACAAATGTTAAGTACATTTAATTGGATATATATCATAAACGTTCTTTATCTGAAGCACTTGTTTGAACTCCCATGCTCAATGTGTGAATGTGAATGTGTCAAAACGTAGCTGTACCCCCTGAAGAAGATTAAAGGTAGTCCTGATTTCTCAAGCAGAAAGGGCAACACACCAGGGACTGGCCATCCATGCGGAATGACATACTTTATTTTTTAACTGATACTATTAACGATTAACTGAAACTATAAACATGCTTAAACATGTGGGTTAACTCCTTCACATGTTTATATGCATGCTGGCTATGTGTTGAAGCTTTATATAATCTAATGACTATACTGTTGTGTTATGAACACAAAAACACAAATATTGGTATTCGTCACCGTTGTCTTTTAAACCACATAAAGTGCATATTATTTTATTATGTAGAATACATTGCCACCAACCTACTCTAATTGGTATATAAAAGTCAGCCAAGCATCATCTACGTAGATTATAGTTTCATCGATCGCCACGTTGATGTTACTTTCATCTACGTCTTGTCTGCAGGAAGATTAAATTATTTCATTACAAATGTAAAACCTTCAAGCGTAAATTCTCCCTACATAACACACATGGACGGTTTACCACCCCCTGTAAGTACGACTAGAAATGTAGTTCCGTCTTTGCTTAATCTTAAAAAAATAAACAAAAGTAACCAAAAATATTTGATGTCACTAAAATTCTTTAGTATACATTTAGATATGATTATATACAAAATCAGCTTCATCAAAAAATAAATTTCAAATCAATGAGACGGTTGTTCTAAGCGAAAGAATACACGCAAGTCAAGTAACAAAATGGCGCTTTGCGAAACGAAAAGGATCGACTGACAAATTAGATGAGAAATTTACAGTTTAATACGAATCATTTTCAACAAAATAACAAACGGTAAGAATCGGTATTAGCTACATAAATGACCATCTGTCATTATATGACTTGTCAACGTTGAACTGACGTAAATCAACAGTTTGTGTACGAGCTCTCTCATGTAGGCTAGGCCAACATGCTTCGTCAGTGCACTACTCCCTCTGTATCTCTCCAAGTGCATTTGGTTTTTCAAGTAATGACCTACCTATTGCTAAGCGAAGCCGCAATTATCAGCCGACCGACTAGGCCACCTGACGAAGCATGTTGGCCTACATGAGACAGCTCGTACACAAACTGTTGATTTACGTCAGTTCAACGTTGACAAGTCATATAATGACAGATGGTCATTTATTTGGGAGTAGTGCACTTTACCGGGCGCACTTTTTCAGATCCAATTAGCGCTGTGTAAGTTTCCCTAAGACCGAAAACGGGTGTTGGATCGTAAAGACGTGTAAATTTCCCAAAGACCGAAAACGGGTGTTGGATCGTAAAGACGTGTAAGTTTCCGTAAGACCGAAAACGGGTTTTGGATCGTGAAGCGAGAGTCACCGGAGCGTGAGGCACGGTAACGGTATAGCGAGACAGCATATATTGCGGTAACTATAGTGCGGTAATTGACTGGATGGTAGAGCTCGGGCTGCGCCCGGTAAACTGCATTGTGGCCGCAATCTCCTCTGATAACAAACTGTTACATTTTATATCCCCAAGCACCAATATTCAGTATGTTCATGGAGTAATTGTCAAAATCAGAAACCCGAATGAAATCCTGTCTACATGGTCACACCCGGTGATAGTTAAGATCTACAGATCTACTCTGACAACATGGCAGTCTGTATTCATTCATCCCAAAAGTCCCCCACCAAACTTCCTCTTATTAATTCTTACAAAAACAAAAATGTGGTATTTTGGGAGATGTCCTACTGTGAATGGGACATTGTTCATGCTTTTAACATATTTTTTACTCAGTAATTGAATCGGGATTGCTAAAAACTGTTCCAGAGACAAAAATATATTTATCAAGTAATATTGATATGTGTTGGTTAATATATACATACATACATATTATAAAACATAATACATATAAACATTAAAACAGAACACAAAACGAGTGGCCAACAGTTTGGTGCGGTTGATGGAAAGGTATTCAATTATTAAGAAAAGCTATTTAACTCTTTAATACCTAATACATAATTATCTTAAAATATGAATTAATTCTTAAGAATGTAGGATGTACATATGGACTAAATTCAAAATGGCTAAATTGACAGATTTTGTTTCCCAAAAAGCACTGAACTCAAACTCTAACCTTTTGAATAGAAAGGTGAATCTTTTCTTAAAATATTGTAGTTAGGGCATGTGAAAAAAATGCAGTATATGGGATAGCCACAAGAGCATGCATGATGCGTTATCTGAGATGTGTCTTTCAAGCCGATGGAAGTTTATCACTAACAGCCGAGTCCGGGGCGATAAATGATTATGTGACAAAATCTGGTATAGCTGAATATTAGTAATAGTGTCCAATTATTATAATAATAGTTTAATAATCCTCTGTATCAGGTGACTATTCCAATTATCAATGGTATCAGGAAGGAATGACTTGGCATAGCATTCTGTTCAGCAACTTGCAGCCTGTAAATTGGTTCGATTTCTTTAATAGTAATCACTGACAGAAGAGGTGTTTTCAATCTTGTGAAATAGTGTTTTCTTTTGGTTCTTTACGCCTTGTCGCCCAATAAATAGTCCGTAATGAATCTAAGTGTAAACTTTCAAGGATTGATTCTTGTTCTTTGGTACAATTATCCCAAATATGGGAGAAAACATATGGGCAATATATGCGTGTACATAACTTCTAACGACTTTAACTTGAAATTGAATAGTTTATGTTTTCTTTGGATTAAATTTTACTTACTTTAATCCAATATTTTACGCAGTATTATTTGGAATTGTCCATTTTGGGAATTGTCTGGACCCCAACGCAAACACTTTAAACAGAAATTCTAAGGGTGAAAATATATACAATAGTTTGTTGGCTCGACATGCTAAGCTCCATAGTTTTAGTTATAATGTAAAAATAATAGTGATTTTGAATTATATTAAAACATTTTTATACATTTATGTATTTGACGTGAGAGGGGTAGCGACACACATATATAAGCATGCTGTATTTTATAATAATGATTGTACAATTTGGATTGCTTTCAACCCGTTTCATCAAACAAATATAGCATTTGATGATGTCATATCGTGAATCAATTTATTTAATATTCACTTAATGACTTTGTTGTGTACTAGTCTTGTAGTGACGTTAAATTTCACTCACTCACCCACTCACTACTAGTCATGTTAGTAAATTTTATTTCTTCCAAATGTTCTATTGCGAACACATATAGAGTCAGCGCTCATGATTGCCATATCTATTGCACGAATGAATGAACATTTCATCATTAATAAACTTACCTGAGCTCACTGTGTGTTCTGAAGTCAAATCTCTGTAAGGCATCCTGCACGGCGTCGTTCATGTTTACCCTCAAATGTACGACAGAAAAATCTGCGATTCTGTGTGTTCAATGTTCGACTGCATGTTTGTGACAGGTGTTCATTTATTTATTAAAATTCCACAAATTCATAAATTACATTGAGTTGCTCGCCGCTTCTCCAGTTGCTCACACTCTCCACTGATGCTAACTGTTTTGGTTAACTGGAGTCTGGATATAACTAATTACAAACTCTGTTCTAATTATGCTAATCGAAGGAAGTGCATTATACCAGATGACAAACTTAGTTATCCTGTCACACTAATCCTTGTTTACAATGAACGCATGTCAATTGACTAAACAAACATACTGTTATATATACTTAAGTAGAGGTATCACGATGGACAGTGCATACAACTGTTTGTCAAACAATATCAAGCAATATTTTAGATTCAGAATCACCATACCATGACATAACAGAAACAAATATATTAAATTGCATACATTCATATTTGCCGCTATTCACGATAAATTTATTTTACCGTCACTGTTTAAAACTACTCTGAACTGCTTGTATGTATAGATCATCTTATTTGTAAACAGTAGGCAAACGTATTATATATCTAACTGTTACTGCTGAAATCTTCTATTTCTTTATTAATAATGTAAAATGCTGTCAACATGAATAAATGCCAATTATTTTATAACACTCCAAATATAGTTGTCATTATGAATATAGTTTTAAAGTATATTTGTCATATGCAGTAATTCTGTCCGGTATTATAAGAAATATTTTCAATATCAACCACATATTGTGAGAATCCAGAAAGAAGAAACTGAGTGAAGCAGTGGTAAAATCTATCCATATATACCAAATTGTATTTTTGGATGTACCATATTGTATATTTTGTATATATTGGAATTTTACCTTGTGCATGTTGCCAAAGCTACCATGGCCTTTCTGCAACAACACAACATCCGTGTTCTACCGTGGCCAGCCCTCAGCCCTGATCTGAACCCCATCGAACACTTGTGGGATGAGGTTCAAAGGCGTCTGCACAATGTGCGCCCTGTCCCTACAACTGCCGATGAACTACGCACAGCTGCTCTGGATGTGTGCAGGAGGATCCCTAGGGCCTTCACAAATCGTCTGATCCACTCAATGTACAGGAGATGTGTGGCAGTGATCAATGCTAATGGTGGTCACACCAGGTATTGACTGACATTTTGGGTATTGACCCGAAACTGTGTAAGCCCTTAACATTTGAAAAAAACCAATTATGTCATCTGCCTTTTAATCCATTAAACTGTCTTCAGTCTAATTTTTGTCAATCTTACCCTATTAGTATTTCGTGTCTTTACTGTTGAAATAAATAACATGTATACTGCATACTTGACTTGCGTTTCTTTTGCGTGGGAGTATATATGGACGAAACAGGAATTCATCAGGATATACATTCCGCATTATTGGTGCCACATCGTGTTGCTGTGTATTGTATTAGGTGCTTCTCTATCAGTCATTGAATACTTGAATTTTATTCAGTCTCAGCATCCCCTCGGGGAACACCTGAAATACACTAACCTGGCTTATACGCCGAATAGGACATGCCCTTGATTTGTACAAGATGTGTTTCAAGAAGCGTTTTCACTATAATTATCGTGTACATTAGCAACGCGTCTCCTCGTGGTTGCCATCTCACTAGGATTAGTGTTTAATTATGCAATGCTTTATTTAATTTCTGGTAAGAACATGAGGATTATCAATTTTAGAAATATAACAATGTATCACTAATAGTTTTTATATTGTTTGCTAGGAATAAATATGTCTACTCGAGCGGAAGAAGGAATGGAAGCTGGTTTCAAGCTTAAACTGGCCATGTTTAAGGACCAAGTAGTAACAGCTGCGGACATCAACACTATATCTACCATGAAGTCCCGTGGAGTGCGAGATGACGATATATACCTCTGCACATATCCCAAATCAGGCAGGAACCTTAACAATATAGACAGATATAACTTAAAACCTGTTATATGTGCAACGTGTAAATGCTTCTAAGGCAATGATTGTTTGTTTAGTACTCTAAACTCTTGTTTCCTCTTCTTTTCTGTGTCTGTCACATTTACTTGCACTTTAGAAAATCTGCAATCAAACCTAATATCATTTTTTTGAGAATATAGTTCCCAATTTAAATATGAAAAAAGAAGAATAACCATTTATTATAAATAAGTAGTTCAGAAGAATTAAGTATTAGCATAATTAATTAGAAACTTAAAGATACTTCGTTTATATGAAATTATTATTGAAGCTGTTGCAGCAGTACCAATAAAGAGAGAATTGACTTATGTATTTCATGTTGAACTGCATAAACCATTGCTGCCTTCCATTTCTGGTTTTGGAACGTTCTGACTTCTGCAGTATGATTTGAAAACAGCAGCAGCAGTTCCTGGCAATAGTCATATGGTCTTTGGACATATAACTCGTCATAAGTCATAACTTAGGGAAATTATCTTCGTGTTCCTGTTTATAATCTGTAAGGAAAGTCTTACGTGCAAATCATCACTTTCCTACATTTCAAATTTTACAGTGCAATTCCTACGTTTATGCACGTTCCAATAGGCGTCTATGCATTTAGATTAAAAGTATGCGGCGTTAAAACAAGTGCAACTATTTGATTACAAGTTGAAAATATATAAGAACATATATATAAACAAAGGCTATAAACAGGTTCATGTAATCATGTGCTTTATGGGGATTGCAAAGATATATCTTATCAGTTGTATTTCCTCAATTTGTAAATACGGAACATATTTGTCTGTATCAGAAATGACTGTGTATGGTATTAGGTTACGAGTATTTAAGAAAGCTGAATCAGCCCAAGGGCCTGTTATCAATATATTGTAAAAAAGAATTGACATGGTACATATTGTAAAATATGAATGAAACTAAACTATGTAATTTCCATTTGCAGGCGCCCACTGGACATGGGAAATTATTAACATGATTACAGCAGGGCAAGCTGAATATGCTAAACACTGGCTAAGAAGTTCCCACATTGACATGGGAATGGAAGAGGATTTTGAAACCATTTCTTCTCCAAGAATATTGTCATCCCATCATAGACCCAGGTAAATGTAACGTTGATAGATAGATTGACAAATGTGAGTGTAACCCAGATAGATATACCGACCAAGGTAAGTGTGAAGAAGATAGATACAAATGTATTGAAACCTAGGTGAGTGTAAGGTAGATAGGTATACACCTCGAAAGTACTTAAGCACCAATATCTATCATAAAAAAGTTTTCAACATGACACACTAATAATGACATATTGAAGCTGATATATAGTATGTAATGACACATTTTGTAGCAAGTCCATGCCAATAGTTATTTGACTGACCTTTCGACTCCCCCCCCCCCCCCCCCCCCCCGCTTCTTCGAAACCTATGATATGATCCAGTCCTTTCGACCATCTGTAGAACATTCAGTGCTGGTGTACCAACTTTTCATCTGGTTTCAGAAGAACTGTCGGTGGTATCGTCGACATTTATGGAAATTAGTTCCGTGTCATATGAAGATATTTCCCAAACAGAAAATTTCGGAAATTTGAAAATGTCGTTCCAATGATATCCATTGCTATTCCCTATTTTTATTTGTACATGCATGTTTTTATGAAGGCTGCCACCGGTGGGGCAGGATATGCTAACCTTTTCGCGAATCCCTGGTGTCATCACTGTATGATAGTGATTCATGAACACATGGTCATGATATGGTCGGAATCGTTCAAACGTCTCTGCTTTTAGCCGAGATTTCTAGTGAATATGGAGGTGGTGACTCTTTGTCTACCACTTCAAGTACGTTTTGGGTTGAATTGAGGCGGGCATACCGATCCCATGAATGAGATAGGGTGCTCTGGTGTACGTTGAAATGACGTGCAACTGTAGACCGGGACTCTCCCACTTCAAGACGTCCTCTTGCGATGTTGTGATTGGCAGCCTTCACTTTCCCACTTCCAATAAGTCGACAAACGTATGACAAAATGTCGACTGATGTTTGACCTTTTATAGTCATTGTCACATCACATGATTTACAAAATTGCACGTGCATTTTATTTGCAATTCCATTTCCATGACATTTTCGTGCATACAAATGCTGTATAAAGCTACAAAATTTAAAATGGCTGTGTTTGTGCACTACACCAGTTAACGAACATGTGACTAACACCGTTCAATAAAAAAATATTACATTTGTATTGCATGTTTCATGAATAAACAAAAATCAACATTCTCACTATTTCCTATGCGTTTCTGTTTTTTAAAGAGTTTATCCCTGATTGTGGAAATGGTTTCGTCGCTTTATTTGCGTGAAGTTCCTGCTGAAACGCACCCATTGTATCTGTTCACTCAGTCAGTCCCGCGTCAAAACACGCGTTGTTTACAGGCATTCTATCTCTTCCAGGGGGCACGGGTGGCTCAGTCGTGTAAAGCGCCGCGATTCGCTGTGCAGAGTTGCGTCCCTTGGACAGGCCAGAAACCTATAATTATGGGTTCGAGTCCCGGTTCGCCCCGATTATGTTTCTTGGTTAGTCAGCATCATTCCCGTGCTCGTGGGTTTCACCGAAGTGGTAAACGTCTGAGACCTGCATCACTTCGGGCTTTCCTCCCACATTAAGCTGACACGCCGCGATATAACTGGAACACTGTTAAAAGCGGCGTTAAACCCAACTCACTCACTCACTCACTCACTCATTCCATCTCTTCCGCCGTTATGTCATCTGTATATACCCTTAGTATTCTCCTGTATGGCTTGTTCGGACGGATGAAAAGAATGAATTAATTTCAAGAAAGGTTTAGGGTTCGACAAGACACAAAGGATGAGGATATTTACATTTTAGGCTTTTCTTAAATATAATATCTATCTTATCCAAGACGACATTTTTTAAAATATCATTTATGTCTGTGGATATATATTCATGTCAAGGCATTATACGTTCTTGATGCTCCTTTAATTATTTTCCTTTATTTATCAAATGGATAAAGGAAATTATTTGCATAGAATTTGAACAGACTGTGGAATTGGACGTCGCTACGATCATAACGTTGTAACATTGATTGATGACTGTCATTTCCAAATCAGTCGTACTTTTTTTTATCTTTCTCCGTCGTATTCATAGACTTGTCAGACAAGCGTCAGATCCACATTTTGCATTTTTAGTTTGTGTCATTATGAGATGATAAAATATGTGCCTAATTTTCAGCATTTTGCCAAGACAAATTTGGGAACGAAAGTGTCGGGTCATCAATGTACAGAGAAACCCCAAAGATGTTGCCGTGTCTTACTACAACAATCTTACGAATCAAGATTGGCTGGATAAATCAAAGGATCCGTCTTTCACTGGTTCCTGGGAAAACTTCATGGATGCCTTTATCAAAGGAAACTGTCAGTACCAAAGTTTGACTTCAGAAGCCCATATACTGCAAGATAGTTATTGACATACATTATATTGACATTACTAATGTGTAACAAGTGCAGATTATCACAGCGTGGCTACAATATTGTCGACGTGGGTTTAAATTGAAACTGACTCATCTACTGTTGCAGATCTAACCCTTCGTTTGTAAGACTGTAGAATATTTTGTTCATAATTAACACAAAATAATGAGTACAAAACTCTCTCTCTCTCTCTCTCGCTCTCTCTCTCTCTCACTCACTCACTCACTCACTCACTCACACACACACACACACACACACACACACACACACACACACACACACACACACACACACACACACACACACACACACACACACACACACACACACACACACACACACACACACACACTACCCCTGACGGGTGAGAATTGGTCTTCAGCAAGACACGCTTGTCGTAATGGGATCGGGTGGTCATACCATTTGCGTGGATCGTTGCTCGTGATGTGAATCACTGAACTGTCTCCTCCAGGCTCGATTATTTACAGACCACCGCATGAATGTTGCGTTATTGTGTGCGTGTGGCGTTAAGCAACACATATACTAAAATGCACTGGGAATGTATGTTCACTACTTTCTAGGAAAATATATATATTTGTCATGTGTGATCTAGTTTAATTGCACTTTTATGAACAGCTGATGGACGCCAACCAATTAGTCCCAGGTGATATGTCCATTTCAGTACCCTATGATTCAGTGTTGGATCACATGCTGGCATGGAACAAATTTCCAGAAGACTACCCGGATGTTCCTTTTCTTCAAGTACATTTTGAAGAATTGAAAAGAGTGAGTACCCGTCTTTGTAGATATGTCATCGATTACAAGTGTGTGTAATGTGTGTGTGGTGAATACCGCCATATATTCCAACAATATGACGTAAATAATCGAGTGACTGATATTGTGAGCAGCGACACGACTTCAACCATGTCACCTGACCCATTAGGTCGCCTCTTACGTTTAGAACAGGTTCCTGGGGACCAATTTTAACCCGGACTCCCCACGGTCCTTTACAATTGACAGATCTAATTCATACATAAAAAACTTATATAGTATTTCCATCATACCACGTGTGTCAACAATTCCCGTACAATTGACAGATCTAATTCATACATAAAAAACTTATATAGTGTTCCTATCATACCGCGTGTATCAACAATTCCCGTACAATTGACAGATCTAATTCATGCATAAAAACTTATATAGTGTTCCCATCATACCGCGTGTATCAACAATTCCCGTACAATTGACAGATCTAATTCATACATAAAAAACTTATATAGTGTTCCTATCATACCGCGTGTATCAACAATTCCCGTACAATTGACAGATCTAATTCATACATAAAAACTTATATAGTGTTCCCATCATACCGCGTGTATCAACAATTCCCGTACAATTGACAGATCTAATTCATGCATAAAAACTTATATAGTGTTCCCATCATACCGCGTGTATCAACAATTCCCGTACAATTGACAGATCTAATTCATGCATAAAAAACTTATATAGTGTTCCCATCATACCGCGTGTATCAACAATTTCCGTACAATTGACAGATCTAATTCATGCATAAAAACTTATATAGTGTTCCCATCATACCGCGTGTATCAACAATTCCCGTACAATTGACAGATCTAATTCATGCATAAAAACTTATATAGTGTTCCCATCATACCGCGTGTATCAACAATTCCCGTACAATTGACAGATCTAATTCATACATAAAAACATATATAGTGTTCCCATCATACCGCGTGTATCAACAATTCCCGTACAATTGACAGATCTAATTCATACATAAAAACATATATAGTGTTCCCATCATACCGCGTGTATCAACAATTCCCGTACAATAGACAGATCTAATTCATGCATAAAAACTTATATAGTGTTCCCATCATACCGCGTGTATCAACAATTCCCGTACAATTGACAGATCTAATTCATGCATAAAAACTTAATATAGTGTTCCCATCAAACCGCGTGTATCAACAATTCCCGTACAATTGACAGATCTAATTCATGCATAAAAACTTAATATAGTGTTCCCATCATACCGCGTGTATCAACAATTCCCGTACAATTGACAGATCTAATTCATGCATAAAAACTTATATAGTGTTCCCATCATACCGCGTGTATCAACAATTCCCGTACAATTGACAGATCTAATTCATGCATAAAAACGTATATAGTGTTCCCATCATACCGCGTGTATCAACAATTCCCGTGCAATAGACAGATCTAATTCATACATAAAAACTTATGTAGTGTTCCCATCATACCGCGTGTATCAACAATTCCCGTACAATAGACAGATCTAATTCATGCATAAAAACGTATATAGTGTTCCCATCATACCGCGTGTATCAACAATTCCCGTACAATTGACAGATCTAATTCATACATAAAAACTTATGTAGTGTTCCCATCATACCGCGTGTATCAACAATTCCCGTACATAGTGAACTTGATCATCAGAATTCAGAATCAGAATTCTTTTCTATTCAAATACAAATCTACACAATTTGTGTCACTTATTGTGGGTAACTTCTTAACAAATACGAACAAATAACTAATTCATTTGACATTGTTATTACAAGAGAATGCTTCGTTTTTGGTCAGAATAATGTGGAGGAAATAAAGCGCCTTGCTGAATTCCTCAATCGTCCTCTATCTGACAAGGTTTACGAAGAAATCTCTGACGCATGCAGCTTTTCTGAGCTGAAACAGGCTTCCAAGCACAAGGACCCAACACACTTGAACCCATGGAGAGACGGGTCATCTGGTTTGTTCAGCAGAGGTATGGCACATCCTGACATTGAGAAATAAGTAAAGGTAATTCTAACGTTCCAAGACAATGTTATAACATCATATGACGAGGCAGGTGATCTTTATTCTATGGTAACATACATAATTGAATTACAGTAAACTACGGTTATAACGAACACGCTTATAACGAACTGACGGATATAACGAACTTACTTTTTTGGTCCCGACTATTTGCTGTAGTGATGCTGTATATATGCTTATAACGAACTACGGTTATAACGAACTAAAATTAGTAGTCCCTTTGAGTTCGTTATAACCGTACTTTACTGTACATACTTCTGTTTGCAGGCGAAACAGGCGATTGGAAGAACTGGTTCACAGTTGCTCAGAGTGAGCGATTCGACAAAATGTATGAAGAAAAGTGCCATCGTCCATTTCCCTATTGAAAAGTTCCTTTCCCTCACTCACTCACTCACACGTCATGCGGTTCAGCTTCACGCATATGTATAATGTTTTTTATGCAAAACAGGAACCACTTTTAATTTGAGGCAGTTCTTCAGTGTTTTCCCCACAAAAAATATTTTTATTCTTTTCCTTATATTATCAAGTACTTTATTTATCAACTGCTGCTTGAGGAATGATTGAGTATTAATGGCAGTATATATTTGCATATAATTAGGTGTTATGGTTAAATATGAATTTAATTAAAATTATTGAGTGTAGTTTTTGTTACTTTTCTATTATAATTTTCCAACCAAGGTTTCTTGTCACGTGATATAGAAACATGAGTGAGTGAGTGAGTTTAGTTTAACGCCTCTTTTAACAGTATTCGAGTTATATCGCGGCGTGTCAGCTTAATGTGGGAGGAAAGCCCGAAGTGATGCAGATCTCAGACGTTTACCACTTCGTTGAAACCCACGAGCAAGGGTATGGTGCTGACAAACCTAGAAACATAATCCGGGCGAACCGGGATTCGAACCCACAATCTTAGGTTTCTTGCCTGCCCAAGGGACGCAACTCTGCACAGCGAATCGCGGCGCCTTAGACGACTGGGCCACCCGTGCCCCCTATAGATACATGAACGAGTAGGGATATTGTATAAGAACAGAACCATAATCCCCTTCCGTTTCCGGGAGTGTCAGAAACTAATTGTACGGGTGTCCAGATTTGCCAAAGTGTCTCTATGTCATGTGACGTCGTTCAGATCTTAACTTAAATCAATGAAACCCTCATAGAAAAAAGAACATGAGTATTTCAGAGAATAATTTATTAACAACTCGGAAGTACGGCGTAGGGTGACGTTGGTTTGAGCAATTTAAACAAAATATGTTTTACAACAGGTACTAAAGTAGTTTTTGGAAATATATAAAAAAAAGAAACTATATTCTTTGGACGCTTGTCTGCAAGAAAAGTGCATCTTATTTCCTCTCCTAGAATGCAGCCATACGTATTTTTTCGGGAAAAACGGGGGCTTGATTTTTTTCATTATAGAAGAAAACCCGACTACACACATTAAGAATCAGATAGTTGCAACCAAACACTGACGAAGACCATATTATCAGCAAATCTATGTAAGCGTCGAGTGAGTATGGTTTTACGCCGCTTGTAGCTATATTCCAGCAATATCACGGCGGGGGACACCAGAAATGGGCTTCACACATTGTACCCATGTCGGGAATCGAACCCGGGTCTTCGGCGTGACGAGCGAACGCTTTAACCACTAGGCTACCCGACCGCCCATGTAAGTGTCGAATGGGTGGAAGTCGTGGATAGAGAAATCGTGTGGTGGGACGTGGTCCTGTGCATAGTTAAGCAACGCCGTCACTCCTAAGTTCGTGTCTCCTAAAGAAAGAAGTTTTGTTCGAAATATGCCTCTCTTCACCCTGCAGTGAATGGGTACCTGGTAGGATGACATGGTTATAAGACTGTTAACCTTCTCGCGCGTCATGGACAGTTTGGGTTGTGTACTCCCTACGGGTATGTGGTAGAAACATCTAATGCACACTGATCCATACTACACAGTATCAAGTAACATTAGACGCTGGGCGTCACTACATAAGCGTTCAGTGTTTGAGTTAAAACAATGAAATTTGTACTTAAATATATAGAAATAATTGCGCGAGTTGATTGAAAACTACTTCGAAAATTTAACAACAGTTCTCAGAATTTTTAATTAGGTACAAAAACAACTCTGAATATGTTCTTTTGCCCCTCAGTTTATAAAGCTGCTGGGGCTACGTAATATCAGTACAGACACACGTTTTGTATTTCCTCAAAATACATTGTACAGCATGTATACATGTATATCTACCCGGGGACATGTCCTTTCAACAATATAATCACCCGATTCCTATCTACACAATAAATACAGGGAACTGGGAATTATTTACCTCCATTGATTTCATTCACACAAACTTCGGCCAGAAGAATTGTAATAGAAGGGAGAGAATATTTGAGGTGTAACTTCCTCTTTGGCCCCAAGAAAATGAAATATGAATATTCAACACCATTGAATAACCAGTCTCGATTATCCGATGAAACAGATTCCATTGGGCGTAAAAGTCAAATAGTAGTGAACATTATATGAATGGTAACTGAAAGCAGTGATGACGCTAAGTGTTCGCGAAAAGAGGTACCCTACCGGTAGCACCCGACACTCAGGTTTCTAATTTAAAAAAAAATCAGTTGTTCACTGGACTTGTCCTGACCATAAATAAGTTGTAAAAAAAAGTAAAACGTCAATGCAAGAGAGAAAATATGAATGGACCACTGAAAGAAAAGTGTTCGGATCCTCACTTCAGTGAGGTGGTGAGGTGAAATTGGGTTTAACGTCGCGTCCAAGATTATTGCACTTATATAGCGACGTGCATGCACGTGTGTGTGTGTGTGTGGCTGCTTGTACTAGTCCGGAGTGATACCGATTTATAGTGCTAGCACACTGAGATACCATGCCGCAGTTTAACATGAATACCCCACTCAGACACACTATACTGACTCCGAGCCGACCAGTCCTTGTTTTAGCCCCTTAATGCCGAGCGCCAGACAGGGTAACAACAAGTACCATCTTTTAACGTCTTTTGGTATGACGCGGCCGGGGATCGAATCCCGTACCTTCCGCTCTCCGGGCGGACGCTCTACCACTAGACCACGGAGGCGGTCCCACTTCAGTGAGGAATATTGTAGTTTTTGAAGCAGTGACCAAGGATACCCTGTCTCTAAGAAATGTCCCAGCTGTCAGCCCCTGATACATTCTCAATTTCTTGCTGCATAAGTTAGACTGAAATTTTTGTTAATTCTCCCCAGTATCATTTCCATAGAGGGGAGTGAGTGAGTGAGTATGGTTTTACGCAGCTTTTAGCAATAACTAGACCTACGTATCTATGTGACAATTTTGGTTAAGATATCTCTCATGGTTTTGAGTTCTGCACCGGAAACATGCACCCATTCCTATATCTCCCTTCAAACTCAGGTCAGAAATGCTGAATTCCTTGCTCTTGTGCACGAAATAAATAGATTATAACATTTTGTTCTTAAAATGAGAGGGGGCACGGGTGGCCCAGTCGTCTAAGGCTCCGCGATTCGCTGTGCAGAGTTGCGTCCTTTGGGCACGCAAGAAACCTATGATTGTGGGTTCGAATCCCGGTTCGCCCCGATTATGTTTCTAGGTTTGTCAGCACCATACCCGTGCTCGTGGGTTTCACCGGAGTGGTAAACGTCTGAGACCTGCATCACTTCGGGCTTTCCTCCCACATTAAGCTGACACGCCGTGATACAACTGGAATACTGTTAAAAGCAGCGTTAAACCCAACTCACTCACTAACTCATTCACTTAAAATGAGTATGACGAAAAAAAATTCATGAAATAGTCTGTACAAGTCTGCATGAAGCTCCACTGTATAGCGAGAGTACTTACTTGTTACTGAACACACGTCGGGCAGTGCCCTCCTGGGGAATGTTCTCCTTCTCTGCCACCTCCATGTCTCCTGCCTCACTCTGCCTATCAGCAGCCATGTCACCCCCGGCCTCACTTTGCCTATCAGCAGCCATGTCACCCCCAGCCTCACTCTGCCTATCAGCAGCCATGTCACCCCCGGCCTCACTCTGCCTATCAGCAGCCATGTCACCCCCGGCCTCAGTCTGCCTATCAGCAGCCATGTCACCCCCGGCCTCACTCTGCCTATCAGGATCCATGTCACCCCCGGCTTCACTCTGCCTATCAGCAGCCATGTCACCCCCGGCCTCACTCTGCCTATCAGGAGCCATGTCACCCCCGGCCTCACTCTGCCTATCAGCAGCAGCCATGTCAGCCCCGGCCTCACACTGCCTATCAGTAGCCATGTCACCCCCGGCCTCACTCTGCCTATAAGCAGCCATGTCACCCCCGGCCTCACTCTGCCTATCAGCAGCCATGTCACCCCCAGCCTCACTCTGCCTATCAGCAGCCATGTCACCCCTGGCCTCACTCTGCCTATCAGCAGCCATGTCACCCCTGGCCTCACTCTGCCTATCAGCAGCCATGTCACCCCTGGCCTCACTCTGCCTATAAGCTGCCACGTCACCCCCGGCCTCACTCTGCCTATCAGCAGCCATGTCACCCCCGGCCTCACTCTGCCTATCAGCAGCCATGTCACCCCCGGCCTCACTCTGCCTATCAGCAGCCATGTCACCCCCGGCCTCACTCTGCCTATCAGGAGCCATGTCACCCCTGGCCTCACTCTGCCTATCAGTAGCCATGTCACCCCCGGCCTCACTCTGCCTATCAGCAGCCATGTCACCCCCGGCCTCACTCTGCCTATCAGCAGCCATGTCACCCCCCGGCCTCACTCTGCCTATCAGTAGCCATGTCACCCCTGGCCTCACTCTGCCTATCAGTAGCCATGTCACCCCCGGCCTCACTCTGCCTATCAGCAGCCATGTCACCCCCGGCCTCACTCTGCCTATCAACAGCCATGTCACCCCCGGCCTCACTCTGCCTATCAGTAGCCATGTCACCCCCGGCCTCACTCTGCCTATCAGCACCCATGTCACCCCTGGCCTCACTCTGAGAGGACAACATGAGGCCAAGATTCTATTCCACTTGCACGTTTGCATTCAACAGGCATGTTTAAATAAGAATGTCATTGCAAGTCATCCACATTCAGTAACACCCCATTTGGTTCAGACAGCTGTTTATCTGATGTAATGCTATACTCTTGCAACACTGTTCATCCTAAGGCAGGGGCGTTGGGGTAGCCTAGTGGTTAAAGCGTTGGCTTGTCACGCCGAAGAACCGGATTTGATTCCCCACATGAATACAATGTGTAAAGCCTATTTCTGGTGTACCCCGGAGTGATCTTGCAGGAATATTGCTAAAAGCGGCATAAAACCATACTCACTCACTCACTCAGGTATTTGTCTGCCAACTGAAGCTGAACCTTCTGCAGACCATTGGTTTACACTTTCTAGTGTACAGTAGAGTACAGTACAGTACAATATTACCGGTTCAGTTCAAGACGCTTTTCAAATGATTTATAGTTCAATATTTTTTTCGCTGTTCCGGTATATTGGTTCAAAAATAAAAAAACAAGTCTTGTTATCATTTATATTGTTTAACCTACAATCTACACAGAAATTCATTTACAAATGATG